ATATCCTTTTATTAAGGCAAACTTTATCAAAGCTCTCCAAGTATAACGAGCAAAAAATAGAAAGATTATACATACATAAAACTAAGGTAAAACATGATTTTACTATCTATTCACTATTTGAAACATTATTCACACACTCACAAATCACTATTCCCACATTCACAAATCATTATTCCTTTCACTATTTATATCAATTTTTTAGCACCTTGGTCCTCGAATTTTCTATATATATTTTTTAATTTTAAACTTAATTATATTGTGATTTAATCCCATTTTGTTTTAGTGTTTTCTTTTAATTATTTTTATTGTTTCAAATTTACTACTTTAATTTTTAATTTTTATTTTTTAATATAGTCATATGTTATTAATATTATGATCATATTATAATAATACTATTTTTCTACACTAAGCTTTTACTATTTATTTTTTTAATTAAATAATTAAAATAATGTTTTGGCCTAATCACTTATTCAAATTAATATATTTTTATTTTAATATCATTCATTTTTTAAAATAAATATATTAAACTTAAATTCATATTTTTTCAAAAACCGATATTCTCAACAATATTGAATAAAAAAATTTATTGTTCAATTTTATATAAGCTTTTAATAATTGTTATTTATGTTTTTTTGACACAATCATATGAAATACTAAAGTTTTTTTTTAAAAAAATTATTTAATTTTCTTTTTAGTTAATAATTCATAGATTAACAAGGATAAATCATTTTTCTAAAGGAAAAATCATGAAAAACACAAATAAGAAATAGTTAAATACAAAATTTTTGATTAAAAAATTATAATTTTTTTTTCACCTTTGATTTCATATGTTTTTGTAGATTTATATCATAAAACAGATTATTAAACTAAAATAATTTCTCTAAATAATTTTATATGTTTTATCTAACCATAGCGTAACGCAAATAAAAAAACTAGTGATGTAGTGTAAAGATTGTAATTCAAAATTTTACTCACATCTGGCTCCTTCAAAATAAAGTACTTAACAGTAATTATTTTATTGTATGGTAAAATTAGATGGAATATTCTCGCGTCGAAGAGAAAAGTATTTTTTAAAATATTGCAAACAAGCTTCTTTTTATACTGAAATATTTTTGGATCAAAGAAAGCAGTTTCAATCAAAAGTAAGTAATTTCAATCCTATTGAAAGCATTACAAGTAAAAAAGAAAAGGTTTATGAAATATTTTAAGAAATGAATGGAGTTTGTGTCGAATATTAATTTTCTTACCATCAACTACCATTATAATATATTAGAAGAGTTACTGTATTGTATCCTTACAAAAATTAAATAAAGAAGATTTTTTTCTCCAACAATAAACAGCAAAATTAATTATGATAGCCATCCATACCTGCTCTATATTGATGCAAATAATATAAAACTATAGAATTAAATCGGGGTCACGCATTTAACACATTTATCGGATTGGTTACTGTATGATAATCACGGCTACTATGGTTATTGTCAGTGCCGTGAATATTCCGCTTTCCACTATCTAGCGTACTTGGACAGACCTCGATAGGATACGCCACCGCAAGCCTCAAACGCCACCTGCCATTGGAAAGGGCGCTAAACGTTGCAGATTCTGTTTACGCAATTTGCTTCTTTAAGACACGTCAACGTCATGGTCCTTCTAGTTCATAATTTTGGTCATCTTAACCCATATACAAAATACCTTTCCAGATGTATGTTAGGAGGCCTTAACTGCTATAATCACAATTTTTTTTTCTTTTAAACATGGTGGGAAATGGAAATTAGGTCATCTATTTGATTAAATTTTTGTTATCACATCCTTTTATCGTGGATTTTAGGGCAAACAACATTAAATATTTCCAAGTATCAATAGGCTATGATTATATTCTTTGTCAATCAAAAAGTTCGAATATAATATTTATTTGTAATAATTGAAGCAATAAAAAACTTTCATCTATCATTTGTTTATTCTTGCAATCAAAATCCATGTTTTAATCACGTGCATAACATGTTTTTGTAAAAGTAAATGCTAAATAAAGTTGTTTGGCTGATTAGATAATGTTGTCTTAGATTTTCTGATACTTTATGATTAAAATTAATAACGGTTTGCGGAACGAAAGAGCTTGGCAAGACTTAATCTAAAACAATATAATAGTCAGAGGACTCAAATGTATTTTGCTTGTAAATTTCGTTAGACTACGTAATTGGAATTTCTTACCCAATATCTATAAATAATGTCTTTCTAGCAATCAAACTTGTTTTGGTGGAAAAAATAATTAGGACAATTATTCAATATTAAGCTAATAAATGAATCTAATTGTTTAAGTGTTGTTTCTTTCCACACAATATTATTTGTAAATGGTGGGGCTGTTAATCTTTATTTAGATGCTTTAAGATTTTTCATATTTGGCCACTAAGAGTTGACTAAAAAAAGAAACGATGAAAACGAATGTTTCTATCAAATTAAAAGTAAGATTATTTATTTTACGAATAATAATTAGACACAAAAAATAAAAGATCTAAGAGTATGTTTTATTACAACATTATTGTTGTTTTTCGTTGATGTAATTTTGTGACACTTCATTTATTAAATCTAGTATCACTCAAATTAAAATAATTCGGCTATATAACTCTGATTTTTTTTAAAAAAATAATTAATATAGATAGATTTGCTAGTTAAGACTGAAAACTGACTACCACCAGGCACTCTACTGATGAATAATAGTAATAATAAATAATACCAGACACTTCTGCGACATGCCGTTTTAATATTACTAAAAAGTACATTTATTTATTTTGCACGACATGAAGCCCACCAACACTGCAACGCGCATTGAATAGCAAGCAATCCACTCTCCCTCGAGTTCAATGATTAGGATGTTGAACGGGCAGATGCCTTGTCGATTCTCTCAACCCCTTCTAGTACCCATGAAAGTTTGATGATATGTTTATATATTGTTTTTTGATATCACATCTTAGGGTTCTCAAGCTTACCCATCAGTCATATCCTTATTCTCTTATTCAACCATAACCTTATTCTCTTATTCGGCAGTTCCTTAGAAGAATAGGAAAAAAAGAGAGAAAAAAAGTTAATATTCTCGTTTGTTCTTATAAAATTGATCAAATTTTCAATCTATTTATAGAAAAAAAAATATTTTTAATTTATATTTATTATTTGATGTGATTTTTAATTTATATTTTTAGTCAAAATTTTTGATCAACTTTTTGAAATTACTTTTTATATTAATAGATATAAATCATTTATAAAATTTTTAACTAAAATGATAGGTAAGAAATCAACTCAAATAATAAGAACATATTGAAAGTATTTTTTTTTAGAAAAAATTAACTTATTTTATAATGACTAACGAGAGTATTAAAGAATAATAATTAAAAAAAAATTGTTTAAGTTCGGCAAAGTAATCACTTTTGTATCAACAATATACAAAATTTTATCATTCTTTATTGGGCATTATTAACATTTGTAATTTGTGTTCGATTAAGATCCCCACATATGATGGCTCCTAAAATAAAAAATAATAATAATTCTCATTCCTTAATAGAATTTAGAATCACAAAGTTCATCTGCCATAATTGATAAAGATTTTTTTTATTTTTTTATTTTGAGCTATAATTCAAAAATTAAATTTCAACAAACAATAAACAATTAGAAGTACGTTTGACAATAAACAATTTTTACTCAAAAAATATTACTCTTTACTTTACAAAAAATCTATAATGTGTGGAATCAAAGAGCACAACAACTAAACCCAAACAGACAAACAATACAAAATAATGTCAGAAGGAAATCTGAAAACGGGGGTTACAAGTTCTCCTTTTTGTTTGTGTCATCGTGGCTCCATATAATGCATCTTCCCGTCCAAAGCTGTTTACTCAAATCAAAATGTCGCATTATGACCTTTCTAGAAACAGAGTTTTGTTCACGCTTTCGTCCCTAACGACCATTCATTACCAAATCCCACAGCCTAACTAACCCTTCATCCACCACTTTCCTAAAATAAATATAATTTTAAAATTCGAATTGTATACTTTTGAGTCACTTTAGAACAGTAACTTGCTGGTCAAATACATTTTTCTTTTATGTGTGATTTTTAACCCTCTCGCTATGGAAGATCGTTAGATGTGGATATATTGTTTAATCCATATCTTTCCACACATATATGGACAAAAATCTAATATGTCATTTCTTTCTCGTGATTCAATTTGTATCGTTTTTGTGGAAACAAAATTAATTTGATCATTTATATCTTCTTTAGACTTAGTTTGAAAATTATGGTTTATTATTTTACTTTTTCTATTTTAAAAATATATTTTTTATTTTTTATTTTTTATACAGATTAAGAAGATTATTAGTTGTTATCTCATATTAGCATATTTTGTATATATATTTTTTAAATTATGTTTAGATAATTTTTAACAAAATAGCCTTTAATTATAGATATTTCAAAAAAAAATTATTATTTTTTCATTTTTATTGTACAATAAATCATAAATATGAATTCAATAATTTAGTTTTAATTTGATCATTTTCTCTTAGAGATAAGAGAAGATACCAATTCCACTACCTTGAACTTTTGTTGCCCTGAAATTGACCATAGAATGCCTCTAATGATCAATAATTAAAAAAAAAAAAAAAAACTGATTGCGACCATATGGAGAAGAATAGTGTAATAGTAATACGAAGCTAATAATAAAACATAATACGAGTACCGGGAAGTACTCCTTGCTCATTCATCCATCCTCAATTTTGTCCCAGTCTCTCTCTCTCTCTCCTTCTTGTTAGGACTGCTCTTACGTCCTCTCTTTTTTTCCTCCATTTTCTTTTTATTATGTTTGCTGAAAACAAATAAAAAATCTAGGGTTTCATTTTCGATCAGCAACAACAATAACAACGGATTGATAGAAGAAAAAGAAACAAATGAATGATTCGTGTGAGTTGTAGCGACACTTCTCAAGCTGCTGCTGCTGCTTCTTGATTGATTCTCCGCCATGCCTTCTCTTCAACTTTTGCAATTAACTGAGCATGGTCGAGGCCTCTTGGCCTCTAGAAGGTACTGCTTTTATTTTATTTTATTTTATTTATTTATTATCCATTTATTCAGATTCTTGAACACAGTAGAAAATATTCAGATTCTCGAATAAATTACTGCAACTGTTATTCTTAATTAGCAGTATAATTAGCTAATCAGATAGAATCTAGAAGTTTCTGTTTCAATATATTTGGAGGGAAATTTTTTTAGTAGGTAGGTAGACTTTTATTTCATATTCCCTGTGATAAACAGTGATCGAAAAACCGTTCTGTCTTTTTTTTTTTTTTTTTAAAATCGAGGAAGATGTTACATTTCTGTTGCTTATTTGTATATTACTCGATTAATAATTGATTTATTTCCAGTTTTGAAAATAAAAAAGAAGGATGTGCTTAATGGGTGCCTTTGTTTGTCATTCATGCCACTAGAAACCTTTCGTAGTCTGAGTGTGAAATTTTGGGTCTCACACCTCAGCATTAATTTGGTTTTTGTAGAAAGAACTGAAATTAAATAGGGTATTCTCTAGGATTCAGTTAAGATTATATTTTTTGGCACTTTGATTTTTTTGATTTTTTTTTTTTTGGTTAATAGGAAGGGTTCTTAAACATAATAAATTGTTTCTTTTGCATTATTGTATATAGTTTATTTATTGTCAATGAACTTGATAGTTTTGTTTGCTTTCTTACCAGTTGATAACTTTTCCTTACTGCTTTGACAGTTTCTCACACTTTTACCAATCAAATGAAAAAAAAAGTATATATTAATAATAATAATTTGCCAGTATGTGAAATTGCCTGTGTAAAAGACAAGATAAAATAAAATGGAAAGAAAGTTGGTCAGAGGAATCATAAATCTGTTCTGGAACAGTTTATAACATGCCATTGCTCCTGATGCACTTTAACAAAGAACTTCCATAGCAATGAAACTGCATTCGTCTAACTTCTGTTGTCCACGCAGGAAATCTCTACTGCTTGCGGCTGGTATCTTAGCTGCTGGTGGGACTGCTGCGTATGTGCAGTCACGGATTAGCTCTAAGAAATCTGATTCTTTTCATCATTCCAATGGACTCAAAGATGATAAAAAGATATCAGATAGGCTGGTTACTAATGAAAAGAAAACTATACAAAAGAAAGGAGGTTTAAAGTCAATGCAAGTCCTAGCTGCATTTCTTCTGTCTCATATGGATAAAATGGGTGCCAGGGACCTTTTGGCTATGATTGCCATAGCAGTAAGTCTTTCTTCTCCGTGTACTCATATATGATTATCTTTTAAATCTCCTATTCATCTAAGCTTTCCTTGTGGTGAATTGTATTTCTTGATTGTTTGTCACGTGTGAATCTACCCTGTCTGATACTTGCACAATTAAATCCATCACGTATCTTTTTAAGGCCCCCCTCCCTCCCTCCTTTCTCTTAGTCTGTGCAATCCTCTTTAGCTACATCTCTATCAGACAGTAGTATAACTGTATGGATTTTATGGATTTCTTCTAGGTTCACGGTTTATATAACACTGGTTTACCTTTTTTATTTTATACTCATCCTAAAGCTTTATTCTAGATCATCATACAAAACAAACATTTAAAAAAAGTTTCAAATGTAGCTCACTTGTGTACAAGAATATGATTGGAAGACTTGAAACAGAGCTGTATTAGATGCATGTTCACCTAATTGTTACTGTTATACAGTATCACTATCTTTCTCATTTGAAATGATGCTAGGTTATGGGGAAAAAAATTGACCTGGTGTCAGAACTGAATACAGAAGATGACAATGGGATGAGATACAGTAGTAGCAAACTGGTGCATCTTGATCAGTTTCCTGTCAATAAAATCTCACAATAACATTTTCTGATGTGTTTATTTAGATGAAGAGGGGTTATTTATTTATTTTTTTTAATCTGTTGGTAAATGGCACTAACTTGATTTATTTCATTTATAGAACTATCAGAACAACCTTGGACCTTCTTTGTGTGGAACTTGTTATTTTTCTGATGAATGTCCTTGTAAAATGTTGGATTTTTGGATGCTCCTAGTCAAGATCAAGGATTTATGAAACAATATAATACTAATAGTAATACAAGATAGAACTAGGATTTTTGACATACTCTGGATGTTTGGTGCACTCTGTTGTTACTGGTTTGAACTTGCAGCTTCAGGGTGTCATCAATTTTAATTAAATAATGTGAAGAGGTAGATCACACTTTGTTTTCCGCTTAGAAGTAGATGATTTATTCCCCCTTCATGTTAAATTTTTCAGAGCTGTTCTTTTAGGGAAAAGAATGTTTTTGTGTCATTGTGAAGGTTTTTCAAGCCTGCTATTATAGTCAAAACTGGTGCAGTACTCGTAGTTGACTTCAAATATCATCTTCATTCTGACTCCCAAATCGCAACTAACAAACCAGCATTCAACAATGAAATGAATAAAAAAAGAAAAAAAGGAGAACAAAAGTGCTACTTATTGTTGAATGAGAAAAGGAGAAGAAAAAACGTGATGGATTTTATCAGAGGAAGAACCTTTCTTAAGGGCTCCATATTTATGCCTTTTGGTCCCTTTCTAAACTCAAAAACTAATTTCTAGAACAAGATTATTTGATGCAATGTTGGTCCATGGAGCAGGTGGACTATCATTGATTTGCATTATGCAGACATTTTCGTTCATTCTTGTACTTTTTTGGTTAAGCATTGGAAAAAATAAAAAAAGAAGACTTTTACTTTCAAGCGTCTTTATTAATTTTCAATATGAGTGCAAAATGGATCTTATGTTGGTTTATTCATTGTAGATTATTTATTGATTAATTCAAGCACCCCCTTTCCCTAAACGCACATGTTACCACCCATTCAGTATTGCTTGGGTGTCTTTTTATGAACACAGGCATTATCTAAGTAATTGTGCTTACATCCTTTGAGCAGGTCTTGAAAACTACTCTGAGCAACCGATTAGCGAAAGTGCAGGGCTTTTTGTTTCGTGCTGCTTTTCTCCGACGTGTACCGTTATTTTTCCGTCTGATATCTGAAAATATCTTACTGTGTTTCCTTCTATCAACCATGCATTCTACTTCGAAGTATGTCACTGGGACATTAAGTCTCTGTTTCAGAAAAATACTGACAAAACTTATCCATTCACATTATTTTGAGGTAAAGTGGCTCCTTTTATGGTAGAAATATAACTTTTCTCTGGCATGTATGATTATTTCTCTTTGCTATAGCCTGTCTCTTTTTTTAGTTGCTGTGAAAAGGCCCCCCAACCCCCAACCCCCCCCCCAAAAAAAAATGGCAGTTCTATCATCCATCATTTTGACCTTGCAGTACTGAATATTGAGATGCTTGACGGAAATCCTGTTTTGTTAAATCATGATAGTACTCGCAATTTAGGATCGAATATGGATCTTCTGAAATCCATTCAACAATTCAGAAATATGAGGCTTCCAACGTACTCTTTGATGTGGGCAAAGATGATCTTTCATGAGATGCTGTCTAATGAATATATTTTGAACTTTGCTCAGTCGTTGAACATTGTTTTCTCTGTTGTTCATAAAGCTTTCCTTTGGGTTTCAGAACATGGCATACTATAAAATATCACATGTCGATGGCCGGATTACTAACCCTGAACAACGAATTGCAAGTGATGTACCAAGGTTCTGTTCAGAGTTGAGTGAACTTGTCCTGGATGATTTGACAGCAGTTACTGATGGTGTCCTCTACACTTGGCGCCTGTGTTCATATGCTAGCCCTACGTATTTGTTTTGGATGGTGGTAATTAGTTGACTTTTTTGTTATATTTGGATAGGAGTTTTTGGCATTATAGATTTCATGAAGACAATTTTATTGAATGGCTGTTGATTGCCTTCTCAGCTTAATAAGATTGCTGCCTTATAGTTTTCCACTTGACATGCGATGTCCAGGCCTATGTATTTGGAGCAGGAACCTTGATTAGAAACTTCTCTCCTGCTTTTGGGAAGCTGATGTCTAAAGAACAGCAGTTAGAAGGTGAGTATAGGCAGCTTCATTCACGTTTGAGGACCCATGCAGAAAGCATAGCGTTTTATGGTGGAGAACATAGAGAACGGTTTCATATCCAGCAGAAGTTTAAGACCCTGATTAGACACATGAGCACTGTCCTGCATGATCATTGGTGGTTTGGAATGATTCAAGACTTTTTGTTGAAGTATCTTGGTGCTACTGTTGCTGTTATTTTGATTATCGAGCCTTTCTTTTCTGGCCAACTTAGACCTGAGTCTTCAACTTTGGGAAGGGCAGAAATGTTGAGCAATTTAAGATATCACACCAGTGTTATAATATCACTATTTCAGTCCCTAGGAACTCTTTCTATTAGTTCAAGACGACTTAATCGTCTCAGGTATATCTAACATTATGAAGATTTTAATTATGGACTAAAATGAGGCCTTTCTTTTTTATTTTAATATCAATTTCTTCAGATTTTGCATCAAGCATGTATGTCTGCAATGACAACTTTACATGTGCTTTATTACAGTGGTTATGCTGACCGCATTCATGAATTAATAGCTGTATCGAGAGAGCTGAGCAATGATGATAAATCATCTCTGCAGAGAAGTGGAAGTAGGAACTACTTCAGTGAAGCTGATTATGTTGAGTTTTCTGGTGTCGAGGTACTTGGTATTTATTGATCAAGATAATTATATGCACTTTCATTCTATATTGGGAGATTTTTCTTTGTTCTAATATTAATAATGGTTTCCAGGTTGTCACCCCAAATGGTAATGTTTTGGTTCAAGATCTAACTCTTAAAGTCGAATCAGGATCTAATCTGTTGATTACAGGTATCCTTCTGAGCTTGAAAGAGAATCTCAATCCTGCAACATATATTCGTTGATATTTCTATTCCATTTCCTTGCATCACTGTTCTCCTTTGTTCGTTGGTTTTATGCTGCCATGTAATATGTATAGTCATTTTATATATATGGTCATTTTCTCTTGAAGGTCCAAATGGCAGTGGAAAGAGCTCACTTTTCCGAGTTTTAGGTGGCCTATGGCCATTGGTTTCTGGCCATATTGTGAAACCGGGGGTCGGTTCTGATCTTAATAAGGAAATCTTCTATGTTCCACAAAGGCCATATACTGCTGTAGGCACTCTCCGTGATCAATTAATTTATCCTCTGACTGTAGACCAAGAGATTGAACCACTGACCCATAGTGGAATGGTGGAGCTGTTAAAAAATGTAATTATCTCATATTACCCCTCTTTTCCTCCAAAATTTGCTTTCATGGTCGATCTTTTAACAATTCTGTAGTTGTATTGAAATTTTATAACTGCTTTCTGCTTAATTGATCTTTGTGTGTTCATATTCTAGGTTGACCTTGAGTATCTATTAGATCGTTATCCACCTGAGAAAGAGGTTAATTGGGGTGAGGAACTGTCACTGGGGGAGCAACAAAGGTTGGGGATGGCCAGGCTTTTCTACCATAAGCCTAAATTTGCAATTCTTGATGAGTGCACTAGCGCTGTGACTACTGATATGGAGGAACGTTTTTGTGCTAAAGTACGAGCTATGGGAACGTGTTGCATAACCATATCTCATCGTCCAGCTCTAGTTGCGTTTCATGATGTGGTTTTGTCCTTGGATGGAGAAGGAGGCTGGCATGTTAATTACAAAGGGTTAGTACTTCAAGTTGGTAAATCTTCTTAGTTTGCATGTTCACGTGAAGCATAGATATTTTAATTAAAACCCTTTGAACTTCAGGAAGGATGCTCCAGCCCTGACTGAAGCTGGGACTGATGTTGCAGGGGCTTTGGAGACAGATCGCAAAAACGATGCGATGGTAGTCCAAAAAGCATTTTCCACAAGCGATAAGGTTTTATTAATGTTTCTCATATTTTTTTCTTGTGAACATAGATTTGTAGCGTTCCATTGGATTTTTTATTCCATGTAGAACTCATTAGCGGCAATTATCTAGGTTACACATTCGTATATTTCGGAGGTGGTCGCAGCATCGCCTGACATAGATCATAATCTTCCATTGCCCATTGTTCCACCACTTCAAAGGGCTCCAAGGGCATTGCCACTGAGAGTAGCTTCCATGTTTAAAATACTGGTGAGTGCATTCAAAATCACTGGTGCTAATGATACCACTAATGGCTTGAGGATTGCTAATTTTAGGCAATGCCATTACAAACTTGTCTTGCAACGTCTGCCTACAGAGTCAAAAAAGCTGAATGGTACCTTCCGTGGGTAGCTCTTCCTTTGCACGTCCTTTTTTGGTCAAAATTCATTTTTTTTCCTCTCAACTTTAGACATTTCAACAATTTAATCCTTGAACAATCAATTTATTTATTCAAAAGTTCAATTTGACTTAAATGTTCTCAAATTCACTTGGTGATGCAAAAATCTTTACGGGATCCTTTTTCTGGGGGAGATTACATGAATTTTTATGTGCTAGTTTGCTTGAAGTGTCCCCATGCCTCTTTTGATGATTTATTTGGCTGATGTGTGCCCCTAATGTGTCACCAGTAAGCAATTTTGCTGATGGCCTATGTCAGCGCTTAGAGCAAAGCTGCAGCTGGCATTCTGACCGTTTTAGATTGGACTTGAAACTTATGTTTTCACGTTCTTCTATGCTAAACCAAATGTGAGGTAGAACATTGGTTTTGATTAGTTGAAGAGAAGATTTGGGTTGTTGATATTGCATAAGTAATCGAATCCCTGTCTTCTTTTCTTTGTGAAGTTGAAATTTAGAGGCTTCTTTATGGATACCTAAACCTTAATATCCTGTTCCAACTTCAATTTTATTCATATTTTAGCCATTCTTCTACTTTAATTTTTGTTTTGTGTTGTTTTTCTCTCTATGCACTACATAACAATTGATATCTGCATGTTTGCTGAACTAAGAATTGCATCAACTGCGACAATTACATAAACCTTTTGCAGTATGTCTGCACTGTTATTTTTCTATGACCTGCAGTGAATCTCTAGTGTCCCATAAAAATTTCAGTATCTGGCCTCTGTTTTTTTTTTCCATTCCTTACAGATCTTTTATTACCTATGTTTCAGGTACCATCTATACTTGACAAACAAGGGGCACACTTATTGGCAGTTGCTTTCCTTGTTGTCTCAAGAACATTTGTATCAGATCGGATTGCCTCTTTGAATGGTATTAATATCCGCTTTGTTGTTCTGTGGGATAACATTCTTGTTATTGAAAACATTTTTTTTTCACAGGTACAACTGTAAAGTTTGTTTTGGAGCAGGACAAAGCATCTTTTGTTCGATTAATAGGCATTAGTGTTCTTCAAAGTGCTGCTTCTTCTTTTATTGCACCTTCATTGAGGTACTGCTGATGCTTAATCGACTTGCTTAGAGCTCAAACCAGATCTGTTACTATGAGTGCTGCCTTTTTGATTTTTCTAGACTATTTGATCCTTGCATTTTGCAAGCTTTTGGTTGTTATTTTAATTTGTCGCCTGTGACATGGGATCATAAGTTTGCTCTTCATGGTTTCCGTATCACTTATGTAAGCATGGTCAGTATGAGTGGCCCTTGTCATTAATGCTCAGAGTCAAAACGGTAAAGTTGAATGGCTCTGATGTCCAATATGTTTTTCCTTTGCTTGTGATATAAGATTGTCCAGTTAAATGTGTTTGGACAAAAGCTAGGATGGGTGACCTCCTGGGAAGTCCTAGTCATGTATCCTTCTTTCTAAAAGGGAAAAAAAATCATCTTAGGGGTGGATTATGAAGCTCTTATGTTTCTTTTAATTTTTCATCCCAAATTCATGGCTTAAAGTTTTGTATTGACGTTATTAGGCTTATCATGGTTTGATTTGCCAAAGCTTCACATTCAAACGTATCTTCATCTTTTTGGTGAACACTTAGTAGTGTAATCTACACTTCCCTTGTTGTAAATTATCTCTTGTTCCACAGACACTTGACTGCCCAGCTGGCCCTTGGATGGAGGATTCGTTTGACTAAACATCTACTAAAGAACTACTTGAGAAACAATACGTTTTACAAGGTAGTCTACTCATATCAGTTCCTTCTTGTTAGCCTCTTACTTGAATGCAGAAGTGTGCTGAGCTTGTGTGCTTAGAACACGTTGCAGAATAAGTTAAATTCTTGTATAATTAGCCAGCTGTCAGTGTTGAATTGAACATTTTGTTTATGTAATTTAGATGCTGCAATTTTCTCAGTTGACTCAGAAAAGTTCTTCAGAATGGCTTCCCATTTGTTGGGGCTCTTTGTCTATTCCTTGTACTCTTTTTGTTGCATCTAATACAGTTGTAATTCATGTCAAATATATTTCTTGTAGGTTTTCCACATGTCTAGCAAAAATATTGATGCAGATCAGAGAATAACTCATGACCTGGAAAAGTTAACCACGGACTTGTCCGGACTGGTAACTGGAATGGTAAAGCCATCAGTAGATATCCTGTGGTGAGTACTCTGATCTTTATTTATTTATTTTGGTTTCTTATTTCCATGAATTCTTGCTACCTGCTCCCTCTCATCAACCTCCCTCTTTAAAAATAATAATTCCATTGTTCTATGTGTTAGGTTCACCTGGAGAATGAAGCTCTTAACAGGTCGGAGGGGAGTTGCCATATTGTACACTTATATGTTGCTTGGTTTGGGTTTTCTGAGGACTGTTACTCCTGATTTTGGTGATCTTGCAAGTCGAGAGCAACAACTTGAAGGAATCTTTAGGTAATTTCAGACCTAGTGTCTGCTTTGCACACTTGGCGTTGATGCGTATTTTTTACATGTCCATCCCTTTCCAAAAAGAAAAAAAAAGAAAAAAAAAGAAAAGTATATCTGAATATGGATGATAGCATGGACAACTATGATTGGTACTGCATTTTTGTGTGAAAAGATTGTCTTACATTGTCAATGAATAATTTAGGTTCATGCATGAGAGACTGCGCACACATGCCGAATCTGTTGCTTTCTTTGGAGGTGGCAAACGAGAAAAAGCTGTAAGCTGCTTGTGTTTTGTCAGTGTACTGTTTCATATGTTTAAATGCCAATTGGTGCCTTAGCTGTGATAATATTTCTAAATGTTGGGCTTTGGTCTTTAGACATGCATAATGCACTATAAATTGAATGTGGTTCAAACAGCAAGTCATCAAAGTCTATGACCATAGATAGAATAACGGTAATTTTTATTTTGGGTTCAATGTGCAAAGGGGAGTAAATCCTTGTTTTCTGGTAAATACTGCCTCATAATAGTGGAGGCGTGGTTGATTGAAGACAGATAAATATTATTGAAATTATTTAATATGAATGTTTACCTTTTGCTTAGCTGCTAATTAAACATTGTCGTGGGAAAAATAAAATGTGCACATTATTATAGTGAAAAAAAGTACTGAAAAGTTCATTTTTATAGAGTAAAAAGACTAAAAAGTTCTATTATATTTTTTACAGACCAATAAGTTCACTTTTAAAATTTCTTGCCCAGCGAAGTTCATTTTTGATTATTCTACATACAGGTTCTTTTTCATATATTTGCAAAACATTGTCATTCAAGTTTTTTTTCCTCCCTCTTCTTTGTTGACCCTAAAAACTTTTTTGAGATTTGTTTTTTTTTTCTTAAAGTTTGTAATGATAAAATTTAGTTTATAATTGTAATATAAATTTGGTATATCATATCATCGTTGCAAGTCTTGGGTAAACTCAAATGAAATTATGATTATAAAAGATTGTAAACAATTTTCTTTCATATTTGTGAATATTTTTTTTGCAAACTGAAAAGTAAGATGACCATTAGTATAAGGAGGTGCTTTAAACCTTTAAAGAATCGTAGCAATAATAAGTTATACGACAAACACATCATAATACATAAGGCTTTAATCACTTCCTTTTTGTAAATATCATAGCAAGGCTTTTATATTTTTTAAAAGTTATTTTTGTTTAAAAAGCTGAAAATTATTTTATTAGAAAAAAATTACATAATGTGTTACAAAGTTTTCTAGAAAAGTCAAACAACTAGTTTTTTAAGAGTATTGTCAGGGTGTTACATGAACTATAATAAACGGTAAACTCAGTTGGAAGAAAAACTTGAAAGTCGAACTTTTTGGGTCTTAGAAATTACAATAGGACTTGCTTGTCATTTTTTTCTCAAAAGCAAACTTGTACTTTCCCTTTATTTGCTGATTAATATAGCAGTGTCCCTGGTGTTACTTTTGACAGTTTGCAACATTTTTGAAGCCTGATCAACATTTTATTGACTGTCATTCTGCTTGTGTTAAGTGTCCACTAGTTTCTTGAAGTTTACATTTTCAAGCTATTTTAATGTGGAAAATTGACTTAAATTTACAGATTACTGAAATTTGAGTGGCTAGTTAGTGTTGAAACCTTTTCCTTTTCCTTTTCTTTTTGATTTTTAAGTAGATATTGTCAAAATTTTGGAAGTTTGGGACTGATTCACTGCTGCAGGTGTCAGTTAGGTCAACTGAGGGGTGGAATAGAGAGATAGATTATTGAATTAACTATTTTTATTTGGAAGGATTGTGATCGAACAACATTGAGGGGGAAAGAAATCCTTATTCTCTTCAACTGATTATTGGCATAGCAATATATACTTTTGGCATACGAAGAATTCTTTTTAAAATTTTTAATCTCTGTATTTAGGTGGCATCACCTTGGTGCCTTTTCTTACAAGCCTTTGTCTTTTGCATCTATTACTTCATCCTCATTTACCTGACGTGCAAAAGTTGGATACATTCAATATCTCAAATGGACATGGATATTTATGTGTGATCTTTTAAATACAAGGAAACCTTATAAAAAATGATCAAGCCTGTGTCAGACGTTGGTATGTGTCTAACACCCTTACCCAGTCTTTTTCCTCGGCAAGGCGATGGTCAAAATGTCGAAGTTTTGAAATTGTTCTTGTAGGTAGGTACTAATTTACCATTTGTATTATGCATGTTAAAATGGTACCACTGATCTCCGTCCTCTATCTTCTCATCTAGAGAAGTTGAACTCTTATTGTGAATTTGTCTTGTTGTCTTTCATTTAAACTGCATTTTTTATCTCACAACTTTTTTTTGTTGCAATGCAGTGTGGGATATCCTTCACTCATCATATTTTTTTGTCCTAAGTAATTCATATGGTTCGTACTTTGTTCAATTGAGCAGATGATTGAGTCAAGATTCAAGGAACTCCTGGACCATTCCATGTTACTTTTGAAAAAGAAATGGTCTTATGGCATACTTGATGATTTTGTGACGAAGCAACTTCCACATAATGTAACTTGGGGTTTGAGCTTGTTGTATGCCATGGAAAACAAGGGAGACCGAGCCATGACCTCGAATCAAGGTGAGATCAGTATGATACTTAAGTTGCATCTCTCTCATTCTCTCATACTAGTTAGTTTTTACAGGTGATCTGGCACATGCGTTGCGGTACTTAGCATCTGTTGTCTCTCAAAGCTTTTTAGCCTTTGGAGACATCCTTGAATTGCATAAGAAGTTTGCTGAGCTTTCTGGCAGCATAAATAGAATTTTCGAGCTTGATGAGCTTTTGGATGCTGCACAGTCTGGTACATTCTTACTTTCGTAACTATCTATAGTACTCCTATTTCCTGTGCCTTTGATGGGGGAAGAAGAGAGATGGAGAGTTTGTTTTGATGTTATTCTACATGCAAGTTGAGCTAACAAAACTGCATGTGACAAACTGTGAAAAGAAAACACTAAGAGTTGAGCTACAAAAACAAGAAAAAGAATTGATGGGATCAAGTGAAAATGAATGCCTGTATGCTTGGGGAAAAAAGTTTAATATAAATTTTTAGCCCTGGAACCAAGTACAAAGCAATAGTTTTAATAAGAGATATTGTTGAATGTCATTGAAAACTGAGGAAGAAAGACTTGAAGTCGAGCAACATAAACATTGATATATATGTGTGTGTGTGTGTGTGTGTGTGTGCACGTGTGTAGGATTAAGGTAACATTTGGTATCCATCACCGTATATTCTTGGGAATCTTAATTTGCTAAACTGCGGCAATTCCAGACGCAAAATTTTCATATGCCCAGGAATGTGACATTCCCAAACCAACCGAATAGAATAATGCTTGGAATCTTCCGTTCCAGCCTCTTGGGAATTCTACTTTCCTTCGTACCAAATCTCCCCAAAAAAAAAATGGTTGCTTTTTTACTGAGGAAACTAATTTTGCCAGATTTTCTGGTCCTGGCACCGAGTAAAACCATGAGCGTGCCCAAGAGATGCTTTATTGCAAGGGGTGAATGGTTCAATGGGTAGTTGCACTGGGGATTTCAGAAGTATCTTAATTACATTTGACTTCTAATACATATAGAATAGTATGTAACATCAATGTATTTGCGTATGTACTTCAATTTTCTTTCTCTTCCCAAAGGTTTGGTCTTATGTAAGCATACTTCCAAGTTTCGCAATAACAGGAATTAGTATCAGCTAGCTTATCTTTCTTGCGTGCTTATCAAGTGATAGTCTTGTTATAGGGAACAGTACATTCCTATCTAAAAGGATCATTCTAGCCAGAGTTTGAGTCTGCATGGAGCACATTCATTCCTGTCTAGATGGTGGTCTTTAAAAGTAATTGCTGTTAGAAATGTTGTTGGTCATGATTCATAAATGGCTGGCAGTAGTCACCAATGGTAGCAAGGTAGAAGCCTAAACCTTGGAGGAGAAGACCTGCTTGTGATAATCTACTCTTCAATGCAATGCTGCAGAGAGTTGAGCAAATCAAAGTTCTTTGAAATGTTTAAAGCATTTGGATCTCTCTCTATCTATGTTCTGTTTTTTAGGAGTTCTTCCAATATGCTGGTTCTTGTTATACCAAGCTTTTTCTCTCTCTAGATTATGTAAATAACTATTGCTGGTGCCGAGATTCCATTACTGTTGTTAGGTTTTTGTTTGGTCCTATTTCCTAGAAGTAAACATTTACTAAAGTTTCCTTATAAAGTTTTTGCATGTCCAGGGGATTCGTTGAATGGTCAATTATCTCCATCTAAGAACAGTGAGCTTTACTCAAAAGATGTCATTTCCTTTATGGAGGTAGATATCATTACTCCAGCACAGAAATTGTTGGCAAGGCAGTTGACATTTGAGATAGGGCAAAGGAAAAGCCTGCTTCTCACTGGTTAGTGAAGTGATTTCTTGTGCATCTTGTTATACTGTGATATTATCAAATAGGCTATTGATATTTCAATGTTACACCTGATATGTATGTCAAACTATTAAGGTCCGAATGGAAGTGGGAAAAGTTCTGTTTTCAGAGTCCTCAGAGGTCTTTGGCCCATTGCGAGTGGAAGACTTGCTAAACCATCCCAACATATTAGTGAAGAGACTGGATCAGGTTGTGGTATCTTCTATGTTCCTCAACGACCATATACGTGCTTGGGAACCTTGAGAGATCAAATTATATATCCTCTCTCTCGTGATGAAGCAGAACTCATGACTCTGAAGTTGTATGAAAAAGGTAGCATACTTGCATAAATTGCATTTCCTTGTTTTGTTTTCGAGTTTCTAGTTTATATTTCCATGTCTCCTGTATAAAGATGCATATGCTGAATTGCATCTGCTATTCACCCCCATTGGTTCCATTTTGAATGACTAGTGGATGTTATGGCATTAGATACGAGTATACATGGGTACACTTTGTCTGTCCCAGTTTTAACGATCCAGTATTAATGAAAGATGAATTTAACCAAATTTTATTTATATTCCCAAAGAATGGAAAAGAGACACATAGTAAATGATATACCACTATTAACTTTTGGCAGTTTACTAGAAATAGTTAAAAGAAAGCTCTTTATTATGCATATAGGCTTTCTTTTTATCTTTTGGTTCCTGGCTGAGCCTGAAATCATGCATTAGTTCGACTTCTTACTTGTTTCAGACTCGTGGTTTTTTTTTTTTTTTTTTTTTGATGATAATTTTGCTTAAAAGGTTGAAAGCGAATACTTCCTGAGCTATCCTGAATTTGAAGGCATAATTATATATAGGAAATGCAACTATTGCTTGGTCCTTGCACCAAAAAATTATGTGTAGAATTTTGGAGATATTGATACAAAACTCTTTGTTTCTCTATGGCTCCCTGCTACATTCATCTGAGGAACACCTAGACTGTGATTAAAGTTGAACTAGGTTTTCTACTGGGTTTTCCAATAGCTTTATTGCCGAAAGAGTTTTGACCCCTTCATGATCCATGGTAACAAATAAACAGTCATTTTAAATTTCTAGAGTTCTGACATTCTTAATTAATTGTTTGCCTTGGGGGTTATAATTGGAAAAAATTCAGGTAAGCAATCTACTGAAATATCAGACATTCTGGACATGTGTTTGAAAAATGTTCTGGAGAATGTTCGGCTAAATTATCTCTTGGAGAGAGAAGGCGGCTGGGATGCAAATTTGAATTGGGAAGACACTCTCTCTCTTGGTGAACAGCAGCGATTAGGCATGGTGAGGAAGTTAATTAAGTTCTTTTTTTTTTTTTTTTTTAATTTGTTTGAATAAGATGTCTCAGGATTTTTCTCTTGGATCTTAAACTATTTGACACGTCTTTTTTCTAGGCTCGTCTATTCTTTCACAAGCCTAAATTTGCCATCCTTGATGAGTGCACCAAGTATGTCATCAAACTCTACTTTTGTTAACCTTTAAAGAAATATTGCCAGTTACCTCGTAGTATCTTAGTTTCTTGTCTTTTGGTGGCAGTGCAACAAGTGTTGATGTTGAGGAACAACTATATAAGCTTGCTACTGATATGGGCATCACATTCATTACCTCCTCTCAGGTAAATGGTGCTTTGAAAATTGATTGTAATTATTTACTCTATAATTGGTCCTGCTTGAGAGCACTGTTTTTGTTTGTTGCGAGTTATCTGTTGCACCCAGTCAGGGTCAAATATCTTGTTTAATCTGACGGCAGCAGATATCCATCAATGTGATTTGTTTGAGTCACAAAAAGTAGCTACAGTGACTATTTTTTTAACCAGAATTTACTGCTTTTCCTTCACTGATTATGCTCTCATATGTCACAGCGTCCTGCTCTAATACCATTCCATTCCCTGGAACTACGGCTTATTGATGGCGAGGGCCATTGGGAGCTTCGTGCAATTAAGCAATGAGTTGCAATAGCATCTGCCACTATGTATCTGGAGCATGTAAGATGGTCTCAGATCTCATACATGGAGTAGAGGAATAAAGTCATTAGGCCATTCAGCGGAGTTAATTATCTGTCATGTATCTCAAGTTGCGGTCATTTTTACTCTAAATTATGAATCCGCAAAGAGGAGGAGATGCCATGTTCTGATTTTGCCATGAAGATTTGATTATCTTGATCATATTCAGCAAGTGTAGTTATTTTGCTGAAAGCATCAACATGGCCCAGAAAGAGAAGAGAATCGCATAAAGGTCATTGCAGAAACTGTTGATTCTGAAATCATGTAGTAGTATAGAGAAATCTTTATGTACAGGCTGACCTTTTTTTATATCAAGTTAATTTTTTGGGCTAGGATTTGAAAATACGTTGCCCGCTTGTGTTGTAAGAATTGAATGGTCAAATTATTAATAAAATCGCAGGAAAAATACTTACCCTCCTCCTGTCCTCCTAAATGGTCTTTTTTGCAGTTTTACACTTTCCTTAAATTTAGACGGGAATCACGTTTAATCTTTTCTTTTCAATTGACATAGGGGCAGAGAGGTGCTAATGAATTTGTTGACAAAGTGTAAAAGTGGTTATTTTGACATCGAGACTACAAGGGTTGTTTCCCCTATTCAGATCAGATAACAGAGGGAGGATCTTCACTCTCAAATTTTACAAGAGAATACAACTTGTGACGCCCTTTATTGGGCTGAGCAACTACAAGTATAAAAAACTACAACTTTGGCAAGTATGAAAAACCATCACAATCGTCTCTGCTTGCCTGTGTTGATAAAATAATCAGGAGGATCAATCAGGATCATTGGGCACTGAACTGTTGGTACTCTTTTCAAGAGTTTTATGAGCCAAGAAATTACTGAGCTGACAAGTGATAAACATCACGTGAAGATTTTCTTATTGGGTTGGCAAATGGCAACAGATAAGCTCGAGGCGTTGTTGCCTTGCTAACGTGTTAATCACAAAGGACCCGTGGAATCAAACTTTCTTTAATGTTATTTATATAGGGTGAAAAGACGAAGAATTCACGGTTCTTCCACATATCATAGTCATGGAGATAAAAGTGGTATCCTTTGAGGATCTCCATGAGATGCTATCTTTGTCCATTTAGACCTTCTGAGTTGTAAAGTGGATTGCCTTTAGCTGTCTGATATGCTTGATAGAAGATTTCGTTTAAGGTTAAGATCCCCCACTGGAACAACTGTCAAAAATAGATTATTGTGATAGGTATTCGTATCAATCGTCCAATAGCTGCTCCAATTTAAAATCATCAGTTGGCGGATCACTTTCTCAAATTGGTCCAACGACAGTGGTGATTTATTTTCGATTTTGTTCCCATATTGGTCTCCTTTCCTTAATTTTGCATTTAAAGACAAACTTGTTAATTGTTAAATGTAATAAATAAATGAAGTAAAAGAACCCTGAGATTGGATGATTTAAAATGCTGTGCTAAATTGCTCATATATAGAAGTATTTTCAGTGTCTTCAGGATCGTTTTTCCAGAGATCCAGAAAACAAATTTACTTGAAAGTTTGATTTTTTAATACCAAGGAGTCTCAACTGAGAAAAACTTTTTACTTTGAAGCTTTGACTTTGAAAATGGACCTAACTTTTTTGTTTTCTGGAGAATTGAAAATGAACCCTTAATTGTGGTAATTAAAAGGATAAAAAACATTACTAGGAATCAAAATTCTTCACTTGAAACGAAATTAGGATACGACTAATTTAGGTTTGAATTTAGGGAGGGTATTTGTGGCCTAAGAAGGTTAAGATATGATAAAAAAGAAGGATCATATTAGGGAAAAAAAATGAAGGATCAAAATTGATTCTATAGCCTGGTAGTATACGTGGTAAATGTTAGGGACACAGAATCTGGAACCACTCAACCTAGGTATCTCATCTCATACCATGTGTGACAAAATCCCCATACCCTGCCCACTCACCTCGGTATCTCATTCATAATTTTAAATAACCATAATTGTATTATATAATGAACGGTTTTGAAACATACCGTCATCGTTATTTTAATGTTATAATAAATCATAATTTACGATAATAATCATGACTATTTTTTTAAATATCCATGATTTAAAACTATAATCTCATCTGATGTATGACAAAATCCATAACGCACCCAGTGCTGTTGCAAGTTGCAAGCTTAGTTGAAGGGTCAAATTAAGACATGGCAGCCCTTCATGATTTGTAAGGACTTATTTTTAATTAAATATAATCTCCCCCACAATCTCATTTGATTCATTTCTTATTTCATGACATTATTAAATTTCCCTTCCATTGCAGCTAAGATTTTGGTGGGTCATAATCTCCACACTTGCACCCTTTTTCTATACATAGAAGCAGCTTCCTAAAAGCAAATTCTACCTTCCCACCCAGCATCCTTGCATGCATCTATATATACAACTCCATAATCCACAGCTTCCCTACACCAAAGAAACTTAAAACAAAAACAAAGCTTCTCTTCTCATCTCAAGATAACCAATTTCTGTCTCAACATGGGTGCTGCTGCTCAAGTTTTCTTGACTTGTCTTAGCTGTGAAATAGAAATCCTACAAGCAAAGAATGTAGAATTCAAGTCCCATGGGAGACTCTTTGTTAGATACTACATCTCTGCAGGAAACAACAAAAGAATCCAACTGAACAGCCAAGAAATCTCTGCAAAGTCCAACCTCTTTTGGAACGAGTCCTTCTCACTGGATTGTTTAGGCACTGAAGACTCCATCGACAACCTAAAGCAAGAAACTGTGGTTTTCGAGCTAAGATGGAGAAACAGTAGAAATTCAATCCTTGGTAAAATAGGAGGGTCACAACTCCTAGGCAGAGCTGAGGTTCCATGGAAAACAGTTCTTGAGTCACCAAACTTGGAAATGGAAAAGTGGGTCATGATGGTTCCAAAGAAGGGCAGTGTTCCTGATGATATCAAGCCTCCTTCAGTGCAAATAGGTATGAGAGTTAGAGTTCCAGCAATGGCAGAGATGGAGAAGAAGAAAAAGAGAAATGGGAGGCTAAAGAAGCTGGATGAATGTGGTTGTTGCAAGGATAGTGGATGCAGATGCGAAGATTATGATATTATTGCCCTAGTGGGTGCTTTCGAAGCACTATAAGCACCAAGGATTGGCAAATTAAGTACCCACTAGCTAGTTAGTGTCAAGATTTCTTCTTTTATTCTTCTTTTTCCTAATTGTTTATTTGGGCATGTGGAAATTTTGTTATGGCAGTCATGAATGCAGATGCATAATCAAGATTGAAATTAATTTACTACTCTTCAAAAGAAGGGTTTTTTTTTTTTTTTCACAGTACTTCAGTTTGGCAAGGAACTGCTAAATGTTGTAATGCATAAACATGAACTGCTAAAGGTTTCATGACTCGTCTTATACAATCTTTTGACTTGGTGTCTCAACCATGACAAAAAATAAAAATATAGCACTTCTTCACATGGGCTAGCTATCCCATATAGCAGTTTATATAGTCCCATGGAATACATGGCCCAGCCCATTTAGTCCATATATAATTGCCATACCCAGAATAGTCTGACCTTTGAGCACCCTTTTCTGTTAGAGCCAGCTTTTCCATTAGTATTTATTACGACTAATCAATCTAGCAAATGGCAGGAGTAAATGTGGGCCATGGAAGGTGTTGCTTGTTCCTTGCCAGACTTACCAATATTGACCAAGAACAACGGGTAGATATTTATACCCACCAAGACATTCGGCAATCCATATTCAGAAAAAATAAAAAATAAATCAGTTCTTGTAGTTTCTTCCAATTCATGTAATTTAGTAATTTGGATGGGCTGAAAAAAGTAAAATCAAATTCTCATCTGGAAATGTGAAATTAACAACATTCTTTGCATCATGTACGTCCAATGAACCAAAGAAGGGCAGTGTTCCTGATGGTGAAAACAAGCCATCTCAGGCTAGGGATGATAATTTATCCCGCTCCGATCAACATTGGGATTTCTCGAGTTAACTAGGAAACGAAGTGAAGCGTCTCGTTTCATATTTATTTTGAACAGGTATGGGACGGGGATGTTATTTACCCATCCCGTCTTGTTTATCATGCTTCATTCCTAAAATTATAAGTATACTTTATATAAAATATGTGATTTTTGACTTTTAAGATTTATTTTTTATATGAATTATATTTTTTTATAATTTGAAATTTAATAATAAAATGAGACGAGATAAGATAAAAATAAAAAATTAAATGGTACATCAATACCCTGTAGAGACTTCTATCTATCTCCGTTTGAGACAACAATAGTATAAAAAATATTACTCGTGGAATACCACGAGATAGAAATGAGGCAAAATTTTTCAGAAGGGAGGAGGGGATGGCCCGCCCCATTGCCATTCCTATATTGAGCTCGACCTCAAAACCAATCCCTGAAGTTATTATAGCCCCACGAACACGAAACGAGTTGTCATGTTGGACCCAAAGATTTGAATTGAAATGGAAAAAAGTTGGTCAAACCCCAACAAACAATCACACCTTCTTCTTTGTTTAATACATATATATTATGTTTCATACCAAGATATCGTTGAGAATGGGGTGATGAGGGGACCAGAGTAGGTGCATTGATGCAGGAGGATTGTTGACCTTAGGACACACATTCATCCAGGGGCCTTCCTTTTTTTAACTCACCCAATTTCAGAAGAAACAGAGTTTTCCTGCTTAGAAAAATGTTACTTGATGGTTAAAGATAACTTTCGTTTCTCGATTGTTACTATTAGAAGTTAGGAGGGTTACTTCTTAAAGGAAAAATCATTCGAAAACAAGTTAAAAGCATACAAAAATGTGAGAGCATGACGTAGCTGTGACTCTCAGACAGGTGTGAAGAGTTGCGAGATGTTAACATCATCTCTTCATGACTGCCCTATTTCCTCGTTTAGAGAGTTCCATGGTTTGTGGCTGTGCAGACGGAGACATGTGGAAGGACTTTCTCGCCAGCAAATTTTATAGGATACAAGAACTATTATCCCAATCAAGTGTAAAATCCGTTTAAACTTACAAAGTACGTGGGTTTTACGCATACTGAGAATTTATATAATTTAGATTTTTTAATTGAGATTTAATTTTTTTTGTTTAATTTAAAAGTTTAATTATTATATTTTTATTGTTTCAAATCCTAGTTAATTATAACTTATCATATAAGCACATGCGATAAGCTCTAGTCAATGATAATTTATCACATCATTAATTCAATTTAGACTCATCATGACACGTGATAAGTTATCACTAGTTAGAACTTACAACGTATGCTTATATAGCACATTAGAGTCTAAAACAATATCATAAAAATAAAATTCTTAAATTAGATAAAAAAAAACTTAAGATTTTAATAAAAAAAATTCGAATTGTACGATATCTTCTACATGTATAAAACCCCAAAATATGTCAACAAGTAGATTTTTTGCTCGAAAAACCCTACCACCCTACCTCTTCGGATCGGTTTGGACAGTTATCCATCGGATTTGGAAACCATTACCATCCCTAATGGCAATATTCAAACCGGAAATCACTAAATAATTTTTTTTATTACTTTAATAATATAAATTCCATTTCCTTTTAATTTCTTTCTAGTTAACTACTACCTTATCCACTAACTAATTTAATACAATTAACACTTAATAATTTCTAAATTATCAACATATAATTAGTGCATTATCAGTTAAATAAGTGGCTGGTTTTTTTTTTTCCACGACAAGAGCTATCTTCTGACTAATTTCTGTATTAATTAAAATTATTTTTTTCGAATAATATTAAAAACTCACTTATCTTATCGGTTTAGTACATTCATAATAAATAGCATGTGAGCTTTACTTATTAATATCTCGAACAAAAAAGAATAGGATTCATTACATTTTGTTGAGATGTGGTTTTCCGGGTTTCATATCTAAGGGCGCTTTCTTTACTTGTACGCACCAAGTCAGTGTTTAATCCGGGCAAGAGTTTCTTTCTTTCTTAGGTAGGGGTGGGGGTGGGGGTGGGCTGCTTAACTTTGTTTAAGCAAATGAATAAGTAGACTAATCCTTATCTGGCCGTTGGTTAAGAAACATTCAACGAATGACTAATATTCAAATATAGGAAACAATTATTTTAAAAATAAGTATTAATTATAAAGATCGAATGTTTAATTTGACCTACAAATCAATACTACTTTTTAGTTACTACTATCATATATTAATAAATTTTCTTTTTATACAACTTCATACTATCAAAACACAAACAAATAAATATTATGAAAAGAAAAGGATTCTAAATTATCTTTCCTATATTAAGACTAATTTTATTTATTTTTTCTACTAAATATAAATAATAAAAAAATAGAAAATTCTCTGCAAACATTGACCTAAATAATAATATAAAAAAAATTATTTACAAATTGTGTTAAACCTCCAATGGCGAAACTTAACTTTTATCTGTTTTTAGCCTTTTTATTTTGAAATGATAAAGTATATCTTAATCGTTATAGGTAAAAAAAAAATTATATCTCCCTTAAAAATTTTAAAAATTTACAATATAGAGCTTAGATTTTACAATTTGTTCTGTGACATTAACAAGAAAAATAAGATAATTATAAGGGCAAACAAATACATAATCAATTTAAGATTATATATATGTGTGTGTGTGTGATCTTTTCGCTATCAGCTAATAGCAATTTGATTAGATTAGAGGCACTGACATAACACCAAATTGAAAATCAAAGGTCAACGCTCAATAGTTGTTAAAATAAGTACTGAAGTGGAACAGTTTGAAACTTTAAGGATATATATTACCTCATAAAAAATGTTGGATGACTTACTTCAAATTTGAAAAAGAAACTAAAAATCAAAATCAAAATCAAAATTTGAAAATCTCTCTCTCTCTCTCTCTCTCTCTCTTTTAAGATTAGAAATCTATCTCTTAAATGCCTGTCAAACAGAAAACAAACAAACACATGCACTCGTACTGACAGTCGCCTAGATATTCGAAAAAGCAAAGAACAAGAAGAAATGGAGAGAAATGCAGCGGTGAGGAAGCCACACTCTTCCACCGCCGATCTGTTGACGTGGCAGGAGGCTCCTCCTGCTGCCACTCCTCCCTCTGCCTCCTCCCACCGCCCTCACCAGGTTACTCGTATAAACATTATTATCAAAACATCAAATTTACATCTTTTATTATCATTATTATATAAAATACTTGATTTTTTCTTATTTTGTATCTGATTTTTTTATGCATTCTTTCCCAGCCGTCTGATAAAATCAGTAAAGTGCTGTTTGGAGGTCAGGTTTCTCAAGAAGAAGCAGAGAGTCTGATGAAGAAGTGAAGATCTCTCCTTTTTCTCTCTATTGATTTTTGTGCCTTTCCCGTTTTCAGATTTTTCAGTTTTCTGTTTTATCAAGTATAGAATATTTTATCAAGATTCGAACTTCGTTTTTTTTTTTTTTCATTTTCTCTATTAGAATCAGATCTATTGGTGCACTTTCTGTTTCATGGTTGTTAATGATTGTAATAAGTAAGAAGATGGGAACTTTTGAAAAAAAAATTGATTGATGGGTGTTTTGAAGTCATGAATAGTAACTTCATTAATGAAATGAAATAGTCTCTTTTTGTAAACCGAGTTAATGTGATAACAAATATGGCAGGTGATTTAATCTCTTGAAAATATTTTTTTTTTCGTGTTTTTTTCTCTTTAAAAAGAAAAAAGAAATGGTTGGGGGAACTTATAGTTAATTTCCTTGTCGGGGCTCATGAATGGCTCAGATCATTTGCAGCCCTACGCTCTCCATAATGTTTAGGATGGTGGTTCCTCAATATGATGTAGAGCTGTTAGATGCTTAAATTTGGAACTCCCCGTAGTTAAAATTAATCAAATTTTGAGGTGAGATTATTCTTTAGTGGAAACAATTTGATCTTTTACCTGTTTTAATTGAATGCCAAGTGCATTGATGTTACTTATGAGTTCAAATCAACATCTAAACTGATTGGCATAGTCTTACTGTTTTAGAAAGATAGATTGGCCTTTTTTTTGAAGGATTTGACAATTGCAGTTCTGACTTCCGAGCAAACTAACACCCGCCTTCACATACAGAGATATAAATCGCCCAACCCTATTTTCCTTGCTTCTGATGGGTTTCCAACATAACAAACTTTGCCAACAATGATTATTTCATAAATCCAAGTTGGTTGTTCATGCTTGCTTTCTCTGAGCCATCTGAATCATTCCCCTCATTTTTTTTCCCAGAAAGCCTTGTTCAGGATATAAATTAAAGGAGATGACTGGCAGTGGCATTTTTAATGGTCAAGATGGTGCATCGGAGTCTGGTGGGGCTAATCCTAATAACAAAACTACAGTGCGAGTTTATCAGGTACTTATTTGGTTGTCTTTATTAAGAAAGTTCATTATCACCATTTGTAATCACTTGTATACCAAAGGTTAATCATGATATCTATTCTCCTTTTGTGCTTGCAATTCATGGATTTCAGCAAGCAATGACTGGAATGAGCCAAATATCATTTAGTACTGAGGAGAGCATCTCCCCTAAGAAGCCTACCTCTATCCCTGAAGTGGCAAAGCAGCGTGAGTTAAGTGGGACATTGCAAAGTGAGTCAGATATGAAGAGCAAAAAGCAAATATCAAATGCTAAGTTCAAGGAGATCAGTGGACATGACATTTTTGCTCCTCCTTCTGAAATTGTTCCCCGATCACTCGCTGCTGCACGCTCCTTGGAATCAAAAGAAAACAAAGACATCGTGGAACCTGCACCTCGAAGCATTCGTACATCTGTCAAAGTTTCAAATGTGAGTGTCTGCTTCATGTGTTTGATAAATCTTTTCTTGTATTTGTTTGGTAATGGGTTGATATTCTACTTCTAGTAGGAAGTTACGATTAGTTTCATGCTTTTCTGTTCTACATCCCATGGGGGGTGTTTGAGCCAAATGTTGAGTTTGGACTGGTCATTATCATCTTTGAGGTCCATTTATAGGAACAATGACTTGACAGAAGCACCCCTACTATGTGTCAATTCACAACGGACTAGTAAAATGCAAAATGTCAATAGAAGTGCTGCTCAATTCTCTCATGCTTGTTAAATGCAGCAAGAGGCTCCCAAATTGACTAGTCATGTTACCTTATCATGCATCCTTTTAATGTTCTTATATCATGAAGATTTCTGAAGTTTGTCATTTCTAGAGTTCTCCTTCTGGCACAAAATCTAGTAGACGCTAAGATGCTTTGTTTGTTTTATCTACTTGAGGCTCCCACAATGACTAGGCATGTTACCATATCATGGAACCTTTTAGTGTTATATCATATAAATTCCTGAAGTTTGTCATTTGTAGTCATTCGGGCATGGTATCTAGTGGATGCTAAATTGTGCTTTAAGTTTTTTCCACTCTTATTTCCTGTCTGCATCTCTAGTTTTTTGTTGACCAATAAAACATGAATATACTGTTCTTTGTAATCTGTAAAAATGAATATGTTCATCTCCATAGTCCATACCATCTTCAAGCACCATGTTAGAAAGCACATGTGCTTCTTAATTCTTATTCTAATGACTAGGGTTCCCTATCATGTGGTTGTTTTATTGGTGCTTGCAAAATTCAACTTTGGTTTCCTTGATGCATGTGCTTGTTGAAACCTTAATGACTGATGTGCAGACGTGTAATCATCTTTGATTTTAGCTATTTAATCACCACTGGATTTTTACTGTAATTCTCATAGCCTGCTGGAGGTCAGAGCAATATCTTGTTTGGCGAAGAACCAGTTGTGAAGACAGCAAAGAAAATACACAACCAGAAGTTTCATGAGTTGACTGGCAATGATATTTTCAAGGGAGATGTTCCTCCGGGATCTGCTGAAAAACCATTAAGCACAGCAAAACTGAGAGAAATGAGCGGCAGCGACATCTTTTCTGATGGAAAGGCAGCATCCAGAGATTATCTTGGTGGTGTTCGCCAGCCCCCTGGTGGTCAGAGCAGCATTTCATTAGTATAATTGTGCACCAATCTAGCTGCATCATGAGAGGAATGTTGATCTATATGTCATCCCTATGTGAGTGCTTTGTTCTGACTTGTAAAATGCCCTTTTGGGTATTGACTTAGTGTAATACTTTTTAACGTTTAGATTAAAATGCTGGATGGACGGCTGACCGAGTGCTTTCAATCTTGTTCTGTCTCAAACTGTGTTTTGCGTCAAGACTATGCTCCATGACTAAAATCCCAAATAAAAACGAAGCTCACATCCAAATTATGATTGTAGCTGAAGAAACCAAGCTCTTGCTGATGACACTGTCAACCATTGTAGCTGAACATAGTTCTGTTGTACAACTCTTCTTAAAGACTCGATTCGTATTAGTCATGATAGATGAATTAGTTGGTGCCGTGGAGCCTGATGAGAACTTATATTGGCCTTTTTTTTAATCTAATAAATTGGTATGTTTTCTTTGTTTCAAGAAATTACAAGAGAAAGTTTCTTTTCTTTTTGTATATTCAAAAACTTTATCCTTAAATTTATTACATAGAAAATTAATTTTGGTTTGTTGAAGATTTGAGATTTCTGGATTTGTATTTGTAGCTAGTTCTTGTGACTTGGAATTGAAGTTGAATTGATGGATGGCAATACAAATAGCATAATACGCGTGGAAACAGCAGGAAACACCAGCCAAATGCCTAAGACTTTATTTTGGCGTCAACATGTTTTTAAATCATTACATTGAATATTATTACTGTTAGTTTTGTGTTTTTTTGTTTTTTTTGTTTTTTTTTGTTTTTTTTGTTTTTTTTGTGATCCATAATTTTAAAAGTGGCGTGTGTACTTTACGCTTTCGATTTTCTTAACGTGGCCCATGTTTTTTTGTTTTACTCAATCCCTCAATGTAATCTTCAATTTTTTTTTTAATGTAGTTTATCTCACTAGTCAATTTTTCGTTTAGTGATGATAGATTACAAAAAAATACCACGTTGCTTGACAAATCACATAAAATTTTTTACATGTCATGAAATAACAACTCTCAAATTTTCAAAAACTATATTCGGAGGGAAAAAAAAACTTAAGTATAAACTTAAATATTAATTTTCTCCCTCCTATCACAGTAGAGAGATTTGGAAGAAAGGAAATTGTTTTTCTCTTCCGTCTTTGATTTTCTCTATTGGTGAGATTATCTTCTCACCATTAATTCACAATCATTTTCACCCAAAAATGTTTATTTCTTGTATGTTATTGTAGAAAAATCATTATTCAAAACCTTAATTTTTGAAAATCCTCAATTTGAAACTATAAATACCTCTATACGGTAATTTAGCTTGAAGTATTGGTTACTTGTTAAATGATGACTTGTCTTTGTATCTCTTAACCGAGTATCAATTGATTCTTCCTTTCTCTTTCTTCGAATCACGATAGAGTGAGCAACAATAAAGTAAAGGAATATCTCGTAAAAAAGGTTCATTTTTTTTGTCTTCCATTGTCAATTGATTGTATTTGTGTTATTTATTTGACTGATTAGTGGTCTTTAATGTGGTATGGGACAACTTAATTAGGCAAAATAATAGACTATTGTTTTGGAACCGTAATCTGTCTCATGTGTGGTCTTTTACTTTGCTTACAATGTAGATTGTTTTTTCTCAAACAATAAATTATGTTGTAAATTGTTATGTGCATTATTGTTTGTTGCCTTGACATTTCACTTTCGAGTGCATGTGTTTATTTTTTTATTTATTGTTTGTGTTTGACGAGATGAAAACATTTATTTTTATTTAGATGAGTGTGTGAAAAGGTCAATGGATCTAATGAGTTTGTGGGTCGAATACATTGGTGGGTCCGTATTTGAGAAGAAAAATATTGATTCACAATTGTTTTGTTTTAGAACCGTCTTCAAATTAGCTTAGAAATTTGATAGAAAAGTTATTGTGTTTGGGTATTACAATGATCTTTTTGCTATACCACAATCCGAAACTTTGTTTCTTAGATTAGTTCATGGTGATAAAAGTCCGAAAAGGTTTTTATATTGAAAATGTAGACATTTATTACTAGTATAGAGGTAAAATCCACCTATTACTTAGTAAGGATAGTCCTTCAAGGATATGTAAAAAGTTAGGGATTACTCGAACATGGTGTTGGGTTGGATTTTGAGGATAGGAGAGAGAAGCATGTTGAGGAATTACTTGATGTTAGGGCGGTAAATAGAAAAGAAGATATGGTTGATGATTTAACCGATGTTGGAATTGTTGATAGTAAAAAAGTAGGTGGGGATGATATAGTTGATGTTTTACTACATAGAGATGATGTTAATGTGGGTTATCGAGGTGTTGTAGGTTATGAGATTGGTGAGTAAGAGTTTGATATGTTCGATACTGAATATATTAGAAATTATAGGTGAGGTTTTTAATTGTCAATAGTTGTCTAATAATGGAGATAAGAAGTTATAAGATGTAAGAAATTAGGTGAGAAAAGCATAAGAGAAAAAGTAGTTTGAATTTAGAGGAACGGAAACGAGAAAAAAAATAGAGGGAAAAGAGAATGAAAATTTAGAGGGAAATAAAGATGTAAATTTAGAGGAAAACGAGGGTGAAATTTTAAAGAGAAGCTTAGGTGAGGGTGAAAACATAAAGGGAAATGAGGCTAAAAATAATTATGATGATGATTTTTTGAATGTCCTTATAAAGGAGGTTGAAACAATCGAAACACAATATGAATATGACTCGATTCAAGAGTTATTATAGATACCGACGTTGAGGATAATGAGAAGCACGTGAGGAAAAAAATTAGGAAAGTGTTTTTTTATCTCAATATGCCCGATCCATAGTTTCAAGTTGGAATGATAATTGTCGGTAAGAAGCAATGACTAAGCATACTTTGAAGTATGAGAGAGATGTCAATCTTGAGGAGAATGACATGAAAAGAGTTAGAGTAGTGTGCAAAAATAAGAAATATAGTTGGAAAATTCCGTGTTCTCCATATCCAAATCTAGAAATTAGATGGTGAAGACATGTATGGTAGAGCATAGTTGTAGTACTATTTATAAGAAAAGTCGATTGAGTTATAAAGTTCGAACAAGTATTTAATTCATAAATTTAATAAAGTTTTCTTTAAAATGATTTTGAAGAAAATTGATAAGGTAATAGCTAAGAAGGATTATAGTTCATAAATCGCCTACATATTTTCTCAGCACACTAAAAATTAATGCAAACTAAAGATTAAAAGTAATGTGAAGTTTGAATTTAATAGACTTTAGGATTATCGTTGTAGAATTAAGAGTAAGTAATAAAAATAGTAGTGTTATCCTTCAATATGAAGGGGATTCCAAAAAGTTTCAAATGATTTATATCGTCTTTAAAGCATTGAGAGATGGGTTTTTAAGGAGGTTGTAGAAGGATTATAGATTTAAATGGTTGTTTTCTCAAAAGACCTCTTAAGGAGGAACTTCTAGTGGCTATGAGATGGTATACAAACAGACTAGATGTTTTCTTTTTGTTGGACTATTGTAATGAAGGGAAAAAACATGAAAATGGTCCTTTCTTTAAGTTATGGTTGATCCGAAAATTCTAATAGGTTTTGGACGTGGGTGGATTTTCATCTCGATTTATATAAAGTGACGCATTACTTTAAATTGTTAATTTATTTAACTCGTTAAATCCATTTGACTACTTAGTTTGATTTTCAAACTTTGTTTATTTGTCATAACTCGTTAATTCAATTTGACTAAGTTTATTTATTGTAAAATATTTTGATCTAGAACCTACTTGGTGTTGTAGCTAAGTTGCTTTTTTGTGCGGAACATAAGAGATGTGCTAGATACATTATTGCTAATTGAAAGAAGACCTATAAAAGAAAAGAATTGTATATGTTGTTTTGAAATACTATAACAAATTCCAAGGCTTAGAAGAAGATTTAAAAGCTGTTAGAGGGGATCGAGCTTGGTGTGAAGACAAATTTTAAAAAGATCCCACTTAAGCAATGGTGTATGACTTATTTCAAACCCGATGTCAAGTGTGATATGGTGGATAATAACATGTGTGAGATACTTAATAGAATTATAACTGAAGTTAGGTTTAAAAACATTATGAGTATGCTTAGAGGATATTAGGATGTATGTTATAGGTATGATGATTTTAATAAAATTGTTTGCTGAGAAGAAGTTTAAAGGGCCATTTGAACCCAAAATTTGAAAAATGATTAAGAAAAATAGAAAATTAAGTGATGGTTTTAGGGTATTTTTAAATGAGAATAAATTTTGGGAGATAACTCTGAATATATAGGAATGATAGGTTTATTATGAACGGAAGAGGTATACTTGTAGAAAGTGAGATGTAACTAGTTTCCCTTGTAAGCATGCATTTGATATAATTAAATTGAAAAGATAAAGAGTTGAAGACTATGTCTATAGGTCGTATTCAAAAGATATATTTATAAAGTCTTATTAGTATTTCATTAAACCCGACAATGGGGAAAAGTTTTGGCCAAGAACTGAATTATCACCCATTTACCCTTTAACGATTGTTAAGATGCACTGAAAAATAGAAAAATAAAAGAAAAGAGTGGTGGTACTAGTATGTCTACGAAAGGGAGGAAGATTACATGCCAAATGTGTTTTAAATAAGATCATAACAACAAGAAATGTTATGAAAATCTCAATTGAAAGGTATGAACTTTTATGATTATATACTTCTTTTTTTTTTAACATTGCATAATCCTATGACATGATAATAATAACATATTGTTTGTTTTATTTTAAGATATATCAATTGTAACTACAAAACTAGAATGAAAAAGTTGGAATGTGTGACTTAAGATTAAAAAAGAAAAGGTTACGTGTTTACGTCTATACTAATTAAATGCTTTTTGGTATATTATTTTAAGATTACAATTGTGTATTAATATTATGTTATATTAGAAAACACAAACTACTCATGACACTTCTATCTATGCTAGATAGATTTCGACAACATGTTAAATAAGACTCGTTGGAAGATATAAGAATGTTGATGAAGGTGCTTGCAACAACAAAACTCCTAAAACAAAAAAGATGAGAGTTCTTTTTTGTCGAAGAGGAAAAATATTTATTGATGATGAAGTTTTTCAAGTTAACCCATGAACCAAATATTCAATTACCAAATCTGCTGTTGGAAGATATAAGAATGCTAGTGAAGGTACTTGTAGCAATAAATTTCCCCATACCGGATGAATTACTAATAAGGTCAAGGCTAAGAAACCTCAACTTGGAAAAAATTATTTTGTCTTGAGTCAAGATGTATGATTCTAGTTACAAGTGTTAATAGTTAATTACTTTAATCAATTTAGTTTAATTTGTTATAAGTTAAGTTTACATAGAATGTTTTGTGTTTGCGGCTTGGACACTCAACAAATAAATTAATTTCAGTTCTAAAAAGTAACGATCTAAAAATACTTACAAGTTCTAACATAAGGGATAAAAAGAAGAAAAAAAATTGAAACTCAAAAAAATAGTGTTCTTCATGTATGTGATTGATGTGTTTGAAATTGTTGGGATGTTTGTGAACTTTGTAATGTTTGGATTTTGTATATAACGGGTTGTCTTAAAGTTGTAACAAAATGGGTTGACATAATTGATATGTTTGTATTTTGAAACTAAAGTATATGGTGTTTACTATGTAATTATTGCCTAATGAACTAGGTGATATTGTATGAACAAGATTAAATTACTTGTCTAATGAGAAATGTATTTTATAAATTATTGTTGGTTGATTATTCAATTTTGCAATTGCTTTGTTTACATGTCCGAAATGAAAAAAGTTTGATGAAATTTGGAAAATTCATATTTTGGTTTTGCCAATATTCCATGTCTAAACTATAAAGAAATCTAAGCTCTACAATAGTGCTATTTTATGTAGAATAACACTCGAAGGAAGAATAACTTATATGATGTTAAAAGTATCATTTTTTTTTCTTTTCTAAAATAACTTTTATCTTACTTCTAAGTAATTATGCGAAGTTATCGGGATATAATATTTTTTGCTTGAAAAACTAATAAAGTAAACTAATCCAAGGTTCCTAGGCTCTAAATAAATAAATAAAAATGTGAATATCATTTCTAAAAGATCATAGCATATAAAAAAATAGAGTTTTTTTTTCCTAACACACTTGTCTATCTATATATAAACTACTATAACATGAAGGCAATAACATTTAGACTTCTATGTTTAGGTTTTAAGGCTGTAATAACCTAAAAAAAAAAAAAAATTAGGCTAGTATAAAAAACGAGATAGCTTGGTCGTCCTTTTATTTTCTTTCTTTTCTTCCCCTCCCTCGCATAATTCTCTCCCATTTTCTCCCAATTTCTCCTCTTTGATTCCTAAACTAAGACCATGTTAAATTAGTTTAGAGAAATCTTGAACTAGTTGATTAAGTGGAACTTAGTTAGCTTGGAGTCCGGGAAGCTTGAAAAAACTAGAAAGAATTTAGGATTTGAGCAACTTAGTTTAAAGATAAGATCATTGATCCATTGATCTTTAAATTATGAAGTTTATGTATGGCTAATGATGATATTGAGATGCAATTGCATTGGATTGAGATTTGCTTGAGGAATTGACTAGATTAAGATTAGAGTTTTGAGACTCATTTGGAGAAAAACGATTTTAGATGATTGTAATAAATTGAATGATGTTTAATTGTCTTGTGTAAGTAATGATTGTAATGACTTGAATGATGTTTAATTTGATACGAGGCTTCATCTAGCGGGAAAGGTGTAGTGTTAGACCGTATGTTGACCAACATGTAGAAACCTAGTCACGGAGGCGTGACCTTTAAGTGTTCGTACCCAATAATATATTATTACCCCACGGGTGTATAAAAACCTATATATGTGCTTTCGTATGAGTATGACATATATATGTATAAACTTTTTGACTAATTGATATGAAATGGTTTTGAACCATCCGATTGTAATATGAAATGTGTTTTTGATATGCATGTGTTTAAGAAATAAGCATTGCACTTTGACATGGATTTAATAATATCGTCCTTAGTCCGTTTTCCTCCTTTAATATATTATATAATGTCTACTCACGGAGCTATTGATTGCTCACCTCTTATTATTTCGAGTCTTGCAGGATATTAAGGGATTGCTCATTGATTCCTCTTGGTTATTTAATTTGAAGTCAACACTTTGGTCGTGTAACTTATTTCCTTGTAAAGTTTTTAGAACCTATGTTTGTTTGAAATTATAATCTTAGATGTTACGTAGTTATAGATATGTATAGTGAATTAATAGTTGATTATAATATTGAAAGATAAATTGTATTGAGGTTGTAAAAGAAATATTTATTAAGTTATGATAATGTTGATTAGAATGATAATTTGAGTAATATTAATTTACGGACTATAGTATAAGTCCGATCATGATTTGAGGTCTAGTTTAGTATCCGAGGCTTGCTTGGGTCAAGGTAGGCCTCACGGTTTCCTCGATCCTTGTGTTGATCGTGGCCCACTCTCGGGGTTGTGACAAAGGCCAAAACATTAACTCAATTTCATGTTTTGGTCTTCTTCTTTTCTTACTACTTGCCTATATATACCGAATGGTTATTGCAATAACTTTTTGCAAGCGACAACTTATTACAAACATCATTACAACATGGAATTTAACATCATGCTAGACGATTAGAGAAAGATAAGACAATATAATTCAAGTGATCAAATGACAAAAAATAATATGCAATTAAGAAATTCAACATAATTATAGAGACATAACATTATTGTTTAACCATTGCACGGTAATGTGATTTCATAAACTTCAATACAATTTACAAACAACCAACACAATTAAAATTAAGCCCACTACTATTTTATAGAAATTCAATAACTTATTATTGTAATTACTTAATGTTTTCATTGTCAAAATTATATGTTCTTTTTTTCGTTTGTGTTATTATCTCAATCAACAACTCTTATTTTTCTATCAAAATAGAATCTAACTCATTTTTCAACCTTCAAACCTTTACAATCAAATTATTGTTTTCTTACGGTAATAAATTTTTCTCTCTATAAATTTCTCTTTATTTATTTTTCGTTCTCAAAACAAACATCATATCTTTGTTTTCTATGAAATCGTCCTTCCACACTCAATAATTACAACCAAAATTTTCATTACCATTGTGGACAAACCATATAGACATGGATTGAAGTTGGATGTTTGTCACTCTATGACATTATTTTCTTAAAACTAATCCGATGACACCTCACTATCTAAAAATATAAAATAAATAAATAAAACCTAGTTTTGTGCTTCTTTTCCATGATTACTCGATTAAAAAAAAAAGTGGTTGGAAATTAAATTTGAAGTTTTGTGTTTTTGGTTTAAAATTACTAATGTGTTAACTACTAAGTTGAAAAAAATATCGATGAACTCTTTCTTAGAGAGAGAGAGAGAGAGAAGAATACTAAACTACACTTAAAGTATGAGATTAAATTTTCTTTAATTTTGTTATTCACTTCTTATTTATTTTCCAACTCATCCGGGATACTCTCTTTAAGCGAGTATGAAAGAAAGCTCTTTCTCAAGCGTATTTGAAAAACTTAAAGGCTGCAATGCCCGCACCAAAATTTCCACACGGTTAAATAGTTATAAAAATTGTTTGGGGGGGGGGGTGGGGGGGTTGGGGCAGGCCAATTTATATCAACCACAGAATTTTATTAGTGGTATTGACTTTATGTGTTTGTTTAGTACATTTAACAAAATTTGAATTTCGCCTTTTTCTTTGTGTTTAATACTTTCTATCCCTCCTTTTTCTTTGTATTTAATACTTTCTATAAAATAAAAATAAATATTGTTAATTTTCCTAAAATAAGATGATGAAAATTATCATCAATACTGTGCAAAAAGCTACCTTCACGGCAATTAATAGGAAAATTAAATTAAAATGAATATAATTCATATTTTACCACCTACATATTGAAAAAAAATTTGTTTATAAATCATTAAAAAAAAGATAAGAAAAGCCATCATTATCACAGGCTTTATGCCACATACGCACCCCGTACACGAACAAGTACATGATCGTGAAAATGAAGATAGATATAATAATTAAAAAATAATAATAATAATTGCCCAATAAGTATATCAACCGACATAGCTTTTTTTTTTAGTATACTAATTTTTAACTTTAATTTTGAGTATAATTGCCCAATAAGAAGTGGAGAAAAAAATAAAGAAAATTTAATCTCATATTTTCAAGTTTAGTTTGGTATTCTTTTCTCTCTCTCTCTCTCTCTCTAAGAAAGAGTTCACCTTTTTTTTTCTCCAACTTAGTATTTAACACATTATTAATTTGATCAATTAAATCAAAAGCACAAAACTTCAAATTTAATTTCCATCCACTTATATTAATCTGGTAATCATGAAAAAGAAGAACAAAACTAGGCTTTAAATATTTATTTTTTAAATAAGCAGCACGTCAGTTTCTGGATGACGAGTTCGTGTTTCGGGTAAAGGATGTTTCCACAGGAAATGAAAGTTGTTTCCTCAGGCAAAGAGAAGTTTCGGAAACTGGTGCCTCCTGGTCTTCTTTGGCATTCGATTTTTCATGACCTGTCGTTTGTTTTGTGGCCTATGGCATTTTTGGATAGAAAGCAACAGTTAACACTCATATAAAACGGTAGTGATACATTATGAAAGACTCACTAGGTCCATTTCAAAGATTCATTAAGCCAGAAGAGTTTTACAAAACATTCAGAGAAATACTTAAAATAAGCAGTACAAGCAAGCAAAGATGATAGGTCACAACAGGAAGACAATGTCTAGCAAAAGCAACACAAACAACATTCATACAAAGCACAACTCTTCTGCATCCAAAAGAAATGGCTCAAGCATCGCCATGGCCAATCAAGGCAAGGAGCATTCGCTCATAGTCTCCAGAGGTGTCTCCAGCAATGTCACGATCAAGAGTAACACTATTTCGGCGATGGTATTCCTCCTTAATACGTTCCATGTCAACCTCTGCCCTGGTTGTTACAACTCTAGTGAGAGCCCATTCATCTGTCCCCAGCTTCTTGATAGACAGCCGCAAAAGCTTCTCAAAGTATTTTTCAGGGTAGGTCAAGCACTTGATTGTTGCTCTCAGTAATTTGAGGAAATCGTTATCAGAGTCTTCCTTCAAATTCTGCAAACAGATTTGCCATTGTCAATTTGAAGTGAAGCAAATGTCTAAAAGGCATTTAGAAATGATGATATAACTTCAAGAGCTAAATAAAAAATTGGGCATGCTATAGATATATATTCAGTATTCACTGCAAATTTGTAACTTCTATTATCCCCTTGAAAAAACTTTGAAATCATTATTGACTAACTGGAATTCAACATTGGGAACGGTTTCAAAAAATAACTGGTAGGATGAATATAAGATCATAATACCTTGTTGATGGCATTTCCAAATGCATTGTTGTAGTTATTAAGTGTGGCGTTAAGCTGTGCCTTACTCCTTGTAGTCAGAATCCTGATGATCTCATCATCACTGTAAGCTTTATCTGAGATCTTCTCATGAAGTATCTTAGCCTCTGATTTTGCCAACATCGTGTTCACCTCTTCTCCTTCGTATCGGAATGTACTCACAAGGGGAACCAACAGCTGCTCGGAACAATAATAAACACAAAACCAACCAATTCAGAATCGCTGTCACTAACAAAGTACGAAAAGTTTAGGAGTAGATCAATCAAAACTCAAGATTTCTGTACAAAGTATGTTTGGATTCCGATGAAAGAAAAATAAATTACTTGTACAGTGAATCAGACGATTAACTTTTAATTAGAACTCCATAGACATGAACTGAAATCTCCCTGACAGAATACTTATGAGGTTCAAGGCATTACCTTGCGGAAGTCTCCAGTTGTGTGATATGCAACATCTTCCTCAAGGGATTTCTTGTAACGAGCATGATATGCCTGCCTCACCTTAAAAAGGTCATGTGAGGACCTAGTGCAAGCTATTTCCATTAGAACCCAGTTGCTTGAAGTGAACCTCTTCGTGGCTTCATTAGCCAAATATGCATCACGCTCAGCAGGATCCAGTGTCCATAGCAATACAGTCCTCTGTTTGATGTAAACAAAAATTGCAAAAAAAAAAATGAATCAGCAACCTCAGTGCCAAAGCAATACTTTCCAAAATACCCTCCTAAAATAGAGGAGATCTGGCAGGCATTAAAAGCCTTGGTTTCCACAAAATTACTTTTGTTACACAAGAAGAAAGCATTGCAATCAGAATTAACATGAGATGCATCAAACTCTGACCTCGAAGTCACTAGAAAGTTCCTTGTCCAAATCTTTAAGGAGATCTTTGCCGTAAGCTTCAGCATAAACCTGTCGGATTAAGTTGCGTTGTGCAGCATTCCTATGAGCCAAGATGGAGATAATCAATCCCTCATTTGTACCCCATCCTGCAAAAAAAAATTGAAGAAGAAGAGAAACAGCTTAGTATTGATACATTCATTACAGCAGCCCACTGCATCACAGGAAAATAGATATAGATCAATTTTGTGAGTCCTAATTACACCATCAAGATCAAATAATTCGCAAAAATTCCATCATGTTTTAGTACTACTAAAAAAATTGTCTTATATGATGATTGATTAGTTCTGGAGATCAAGATTACGAATTTAATGATGAATTTAGAGGTCTAAAACCAAACAAAGTGACTATAAAAACGATCAATGCAAACAGTTTACAAACACTATTAACCTTGTTAAACAGAAAATCAGATGGCTAACTATATGTGTCATTTCTGCAGATCACGACTCTTAAGAACTTAACAATGCAGATCAGTATATGGATCAACACCTAGACAAAAAGTAGCTCCTAGATCAAATAACACTGTCATCATGTTTAACTCGAAAATCAAACCCACCATTGCTTCAGTAAACTAATCAGGATCAAGACATTTAACAACAAATTACCAAATGATCTTATTTATGGTATGATTAACATCAAACAACCCATAAAACGAACCCGCAGCATAAGAACCCATGTGATCAACACCAAAACAAAAAAAATATGTGAGATAAATCATTAAAAGAAAGGATTATAAAGGAGACCTACAAAAGTTTTTTGTGTTATTTCTCAAGATCAAGATTCAAAACTTAACAATGCAGAGCACAGAGATCAAACACAAAACAAAGCAACTACAACATCAAAAAGTGAAACCAACCATTTCTTCAATAAATGAATCAAGATCAAGTTTTCAATCACAGATTACCAAATTATCTAATAAAGAACGTCATTTTATTTTATGATCACCATCAAACAGCCCATCAGAGAAACCCACCATAAAATCCAAAAAAAAAAAAAAAAAAAATTGACTGAGAGAAAAGATTTGATTCATCATGTAAACAAAATCACTGAATGAATCCACAACTGACCAAAAGAACCAACACGATCAAACACAAAATATTAAAAAGAGTGATGAATCTTTAAAGGGAGACCTTCAAAAGCTTTGTGAAGTTGCTCAGCATCCTCATAAGGAGGAGGAACAGAAGCAGGAACTTTAAGGGACGCCATTGTTATCGCTCTTCACTCTGTTTACACTCTGTTTTGTGTTTTTGTCAGGAATCGGAAACGATGGATGAAAGTATGATTTTTTAGCTTGTTTTATAATGCATGAAAAGGAAAGAAAATGAATTAAAATTATTTCATTACCAAAATGTGATGGCATAAAAAAATCATCGAAATGCCCGCCATGATTATCTTGCTTTTTTAGTATTTGGTTATGATTTATCAGTGTCAAAAACAACAATGAACTTGGTCACGTCATGGTAACATGGGTGGTGGACTATTATGATTCTTATCAAGGACAATTTGTAAAACATATTTATCAATTTCATCCCAAATCACAAGTTCCTTTCAATTTCATTCTAAGTTCCTTCTAAACTTCCGACAGCTTTCAATTTCATCGTAAACAAATAAATATATCTTGTATTAAAGGATGTCATCCTTTTGTCCTACCACCCCTAATATGATCCACTGTGTTTTTTTCCATTTTATTTTGTCTAGTTCAATCTACTTAAAGGTTATTATTAGGTAATAACAATCCATAGCTTCTTGAAATTAACACAAAAATTAATCATAAAATCTTCAAAAATCATCACATTAGACTAATGTTTAACATAAAAAAAAAATTAAAAATATTTATAGACGGTTGGATTAACGAACCTATAAATGGATTCTACTTTAAAATTATGATTTTAATGGTTTATGTGTATTTTTAGAGTTTTTATGTAGTCATTTTTTCTTGACATTTAGCATTAATTGTATTATTTTATAAGTGGATTTAGATTTTGCAAAAATTTTGAGACTTCTACCTAATTTTCGTAGCAATTTGAATGGTTCGTCAATTGTAAAATTTTTTCGAGATGACGGATATTTTAAAACTAATTTATATGAGATTAAATATTTTTTTCGAACAGACTTTAAGATGAAGTCTTATATTAGCTTGATATTTGGAATTTTTTTAAAAAAAAATATTGACATCAAATTTTGAATTGAAAAAGATAAAACAAAGTAAACATTTTCAACCACCAAATCGATCCCTTAAAGTCAAGGTGACAGACATATTGATGGAAGTTGGATGCCATATTGTGAAATTTAAATTCACTTTTGTGTGTTTGGATTGTAGCGAAAAAGCTTATATATATATATAACTACTGAGTACTATTTTTGTTGTTTTGAAGTGGAAAGGTGAAACACGGGCTGTGCCATCTATCCTGTGTTTTTTTTTTTTTTTTTTTTTTTTTTTTAAGATAAGGAGATATTTTTAAATTAATTTATTAATCAATTAAAATTAAATTTATTGTTTTTTTTTAAATTAGTTCAATGCTAAGAATACATTTAGCTTTTGATCTATTAGATTTTCTAGACATAAAACTTTCTCTTAAATTAAATCAATTTAAATCCAATATAGATAATTATAGCTATTTATCTAAATAATAGATATTAAATTTTAATTCTAGTTAAACCGAAACAATCGAACCAAAAAAAGGTCAACTAAATCACTTAGTGGGCCATCGTCAACTACATCACTTAGTGGTACATCTTTAATTATATTAAGACAAACTTCATAAATGTTTCAAACTATTTCAATGCTAGAATACATTTAGCTGTCGTTGTATTGGATTTTCTACACCGAAAGCTTTTTTTTTAAAAAAAAGATCTAATATAGATAATTATAGCTATTTATCTAAATAATAAATAATAAATTTTAATTTTAGTTAAACCGAAACAATCCTATCAACCACATCACCCAGTGGTCCGTCGTCAGATTGTTATCGAGTTGGTGTCATGAATTTGTCGATTTCGATACGTGGAGCCTACCATAACAAACACCTGGTCGGACGGACGGACAGTGGAGGATGAAAAACGCGCGGTGTCCGATTTTGACCAGAGAAAAAAAATAGGACGATGAGCTTTACAAAAAAATGATGCAATCCATGTTTAAATAGAACAATAATATATATATTTGACAATAGTAGACTTTGCTCATAAATTCTTTGGGATTATGAATAGATTATTGATAGTTTTAATTTAGATTATCACACGTGTTAGTATACAATTCATCTTTTTATAAATAAATCATCGTGATCATGATAACAACAGATGCTCTTTTCCAAATATTAATGATTAATAATCTAACTTTCATATTAAAGAAATTTTCAAACCAATTTTACGCATCAAAATCAAATTTATATATAGTAATAAATTATTCCTACTTGGATTATTTGTATTCGTATGAAATTATTTTATTATTTTATAGGACCTTCCTTGAGAATCTAACACAATATGAAATGAATTCACCAACTGGGTTAAGCATCTAAAAAGTTTATACAATACTTTTTCATGATTGAATCCATTTTAACGTTAACGTTCAATGATGCAAGTTTTTTAGAATACGCAACACAAAACATGTCTACAAATTTAGCATATTTCATTATATGACAATTGATATGTCAATTTGTTACAAAGATATCAATCAGACATACTAATTTGTTAATTGTCATATTAAAATAGATAAATAACTTAATATACCTTTATATAAAAATTTAAATTTTTAATTTGTTCGTTCGTGTTTAATTATATTTATTATATTTTTAAATAATATTTGAGTCTTTAATTTTTTTTTATTATAGATAATTTTTTAACTAAAATGCTACTAACTAAAATATAAAAAAAAAATTAAAATCACATCACTTCCATGTTTCGTTTTTTATGTATTTATATATATATATTAAAAATTTGTTCATATTTATAAAAATTGATCGAAAAAACTGATCCAAGACTTAAATATTATTTGAAAATATAATAACTGTAATTAAAAATATAAAATAAATTAAAATCTCAAATTATCATAAAAAAGTGATTAATTTATTCACCGATTCATATATTTGTCATGTTTCTTTTGTGGGTAAGCGTGCCTATTGATGTGTTAACCACCCTATCATTGGACTGATCAGCGCGGACGTATGTTCACACGTATCTTGTACCTAAGATTGTTGGATCGCAGACCCACATCTTACAGTCATCACTAACTTTCAATTTATTCATCATTTGTTCACTTGTATTTATGGGAAAATTTACTTATAGACGCTTAATTTAAGAAATAACATGGTTGTTTTTTTTATCAATAATAAAAACTAAAGAATTATCATCTTTTTGTGAAAAAAGGACAACAATTTTATCATATATGAGTTGAATAAACTTCTGTCTATAAATAAATATCAAAAAACTATGTGATCACGTGTCAGCATAATTAATTATGTCTTAAAATGATCTTTTCTCTATTTTTTTCTTGCTGGATAAATCATTTTTTTCCTTCCTTCTTCATTATTTTTTTTTGGAGCCTACGATATTCTCTTTATATAAAATGTCAAACTTTATATCATGGACCTATTTGTATTGGAGGAAATTTCCTCATTCTACGTAATTCATGATATTATATGATATGCATACAAAATAATACTTTAGACTCAAAAGAAAGTAATAAAGAAGGCAAAAAGATTTGTAAGGAAGAAAAATTGGTAAGAGAAAGTACTCATTAAAAAAAAAAAAAATTACTAATACATGATAATGACAACACCTATACGCGGGATTAAGTTTCCTCCATCCTATAAGAGAGATTGTTGTCCCTTCATTAGCACAAACTCTCATGGCATAAACCCTAATTTCTCTGGTGATCAATCACAATATATTGTCAAATGCAACAAACATCCTTTTGGATGAAACTTCATGGAAAGTGAATTCATTGTAATACAACACTTGTTTCACTTTCTATGAAAACTTCCTAATATTCTAACTACAAAATTTGTTCTATTTTAAAGAGATGTTTTGTGCTTATAAGAATAACTAATGTACCTTCAAATCCTATTTGATTGTTGTTGTTATTAATAGTATCGTTATTATTTTATGATTAATGTTCTTGATATGGGATTATCAAATTAGTTCAATTTTATTTATTTATTTAAGATTTTTTTCTAGATAATTAATTATTAATTTAATGGATAACCGATAACCAACTATTATGGTTATCGTTATTCAAAATTCATAACTTTCGGTTATAGTCATAATTTTACCTAAAGTAATACTATGTTAACCATGATGGCGTCTGCAAGGGAAAGATAATGGTCAATAATGAAGGTAATATAAAACCTCTAATATTTAGTGGAATTTTATGGAATGACCCGAACCATTAATTGTGCAATATTGCTGGACAAAGTACGTAGGGCATAAAATATAGGCCCAAACATAAGGAAATTAAAAGACAGTTACACCAAACAAAGGCTACAAATAAAGTACCAAGAGTTGGCATCGCAGATTTAGCACCAAAGGGAAAATTTTGAAAAGTAGCACTGTGATATGGTACTTTACTCCAGATAGCACCGAGCCAGAGAAGTTTCAAGTTTGAACTCTATCTATGCTCTTTTATCGTCAGCATCTATGTTTACACTTTACATATTGGGTTGCTCTTGTTCTCTTAGATTCTACTAGTTAGATACTCATCCTATGTTACAGTCATATAATCATTATACATATAGAGTTAATGATTCGTATGGTGTGATGTGTGTAGAAATTTTGTTTCTAGCGATTAATATAAATCGAATTTATATATTGAGAAAAATTGTTTGATTTATATATATATATATATTATCAAAATAATTTATAATATTAGCATAAAAATTTATATTTTGAATAATTAGGAGGTTTTTTCAAAATATTAATTAAATTATTTTATTTAAAAATACAGATTTTAGAATATGAAAAAATAAATAACAAATAATCGGTGTTATCTATGCAAATATGTAATTAATTTCTAACAATATATATATATATATAAGCAAATAAAATCTACAAATTCTTTTGTAACTAATTATCAATTTTTTTTTTATAAAAATCAAGTCAAACTATTTAAAACACATTTTTAGTTATCTCTTTCTCCGATCGAATTTATACATGTAACTATGCTAATCTCATTAAAAAATTATTAAAAAAATAATTAATCATATAAATAATAA